AAATTTAAAAAACCCTAAAACTACGCACTGAACGTACCCGAACTGCTGATGAACAGCAGTCGATCTGCGCACGCACGAAGGTGCTATTCCTATTCTTCTTCTGGAAAAACGAAAGAGAGCTTCAAAACAGACTGCAGCGCCATCTGAAGCAAAGAGCATACTTCCTGCGGACACTTTTTTGGCTGAGTGAACCATCTTGTTATGTACTATCTTTGATTTAACCAATACAGTACCAAGAGGTGCATTATGTAAACACATAGCTGTTAGATCCTTTTCCATATTTGGACAAGGAAAGTCCAAAGTCAACCCAAAAGAATTGAGAAGCCCAAAGTAAGGATCTCGTAAGCAAATTCTGGTGACCAGCCCTTTTAGTTTTAACATTTTATGGCACTTGCAACACTTTAAAGTCATATCAGTGCTAAAGATTAGAGGTGTTACTGGAGAATAACATACAATAAAAAAAAAAGGAGGAGGAGGAGGAGAGATGCTTGAAAGAAAAGAAGGAGTAGACCACAAAAGAGTATCCTCCAACCAACTATGCATTAATTCTCTTCACCGTACCGCCTGAGGGCACTGGTAAGCAACCCTCTTTTTTCATCACTTCAAAGTGGTTTGTTTAATATCCTGATGCTTTTTTTTTTTTCAAATCATGAGATACAATGTTATCCAACTAAACAAATCAACTGGTTATCTTGTTGATGAATTTCTTCTGATAATTAATCGACTTGTAAGAGTACAGCGTTATCAAGACAATGTTCCTTTCAATAAAACTTTGCTTCAGAAAACAAAGAGGAAATAGTATGTGATTTGAGAATGATGACATGGACAGTCTTGTCTGAAACAACGACGGTGCATCAAGAGTGATGTGATAAGGCCTGTGGGACTGTGACTTACATTCCTTGAGCAATAAGTACAAATTCAATTGCTTTTTTGCTGAAAATTGGCAAAGAAGGGTTTTACTTTAGCGTTACAAATATGTGCTGAAAGAAACTGTTATGACTTGGAAATCACCGCACTTCACGTTCGACACAGCAAGGTATTGGTATTTAGATCAGTTTTAAAACCATCAGACTTGTACCATCTAACGCGTCAAAAAAGTAAGACAGATAGAGACAACTGAAGGAAAGAAACAAAATGGGATCCACCAGTGACACATACCAACCGCCCATAAGATGTGGGGAGAGGAACTGAGAAAGCAGAAGAGTAAGAGTTTAAGAGGCAAGAGAGAGAGGAGGGGGATTATATGATTATATTCTTATGGGCATTGACCTCTTTCTCAAAGCAACAGATGTAACCAATAATCCCAAGAAATGAGAGCAACAGCTTTAGCTGGAAAAATGTAGAGTTAAAGAAAAAAAAAATATGTCCATCCAAGGTTGCTGTATACACACTGAAAGCTGATATAACCCAAGCTTAACTAAGGCCAGGGTGGTAAAGACACAGAGAAAGACAGAGGAGGAAGGAAGAAAGGAGAAAGATTCAGATGGGGGAGGAACTTCAGGACAGCATTATGACAGACCTTTATGGTACAAAAAATACCAGGACAGGTTTGACAGCGGGAAAAAAAAAATCCATGTTGATACCAAAACCCAACAAAAGCAAAACTTGCAAACCTTTTGACAAGAGCCCCTTGTAAGGAGCCAGACAGTGACATTTAAAAGGTGAGTTTTTCAAGGTGAGTTTGTTTCGTTCGTTTCAAGACATTTAAGTGGTGAGTTTTTCAAGGTGAGTTTTTTTCGTTTATTTCACAGAAACAATATTATAGCTACGTAGTTCAAAGCCTGAGGAGTATCTAATACTGTTTTGCGCACACTTTTACCTCGCAGTTCAATGACGTCAACAGGTACTGCATGAAAAAGGTAGCAGAAAAAGATGAGAAATATGGCATACTGATTTCCCAGCCATACAGCCCTTTTCAATTTCATGATTCCGTCCTCAATTTTTTGACACAGAAGAATTCGATTTCGTCCTCAATTTTTTGAAACAGAAGAATTCTATCATCATTTAAAATATTTTCAATAATGTGACAGCAACCATTACTAACACTGCGTTTATGTAGAGATTTTTAAAATTAATGAGGAATTATTTATAAAGGGTATACCTTTAAAAGATTCGGCACAGCCGAAGAAAAACTACTTGGCAAATTTTAAACGGTCTAATTTTTCATATTCTAAAAAAGAAAACCAAAGTCTCTGCTCTCGATAAAATAGCAGCCATGCTCAAGCTAATTGCATGATATAAAAAACTGCACAGCAGACAATAAATAAGACTCAATTCGTTTTTTTGTTGCAGCTGCTTCAAAAACAAAATGTAACTCGATAGCTTAACAGGCGATATAGTTAACACAACTCACATTCAGTAAGAAAAATACAGAACAATTTAACAAAATATTCGAACAGTTAGTGCAATCACATAAGCACTAACTCAAATCACTTACTTTCCCATTTCTTTAAAAAAAATATTATACAATGAAAAAAATGTATAAAAGAAAAAAAAGGTGATTAAAACACCAATTTACCCTGGCATTCCAAATAAGAATAAAATTCCGACCACCTGAGACAACATCCAATGAATAATGACAACAAGTGGTTATACTATCTTAGTTTACCACATCTACGACAAAGTTACACAACACAGAAAAAAAAGACAAAATTCAATTCACTGTCTTTTTTCGATGAACATTTGGTTCCTGTGTCAAAACAATAACCAGGCCTACTCTATTGCACTATCAGTCAAAGAATACTTTTGCTGTTAAGTAGTAGGAAATACAATGCACATTTCCTTCCTCGACCTCAGGAGTCAACAGCTTTTAAAACATTAGCCACATAGATTGTTCAACTAATTTTCTCCCCCCCCCACACACACACTTTATGAAACCCCCCCCCCCAAAACTACAAGAAACCCCAACTCTGTAAAGACTCCATATCAATGAACAGGGCGTAATTTCTTTATCACAGTCTGTATTTGTAACACTGTACAGGCCAAGCAAGAGCCTGCAACATGTGGACTGTCAAAGCAAAGAATACAGAAAGGGATTACGGGGACACAACATGCTGCTGATATGAGAAGCACACCAGTCTACCTACTACATCTGACAAACATTTTAGTCGTGTCTAAAAAGTCATACTACCCATGCGAAGATTTTCAACAATGTTGCCATAATTAAATGCAGACAGAACTCTAAAACTCATATCCCTCAATAGAATAACATGTGTTTAGTTGTTGCAAAAGATGATTGTCTGGATTAAAACCAGCTAGTGTTGTCTTTTAAAAAGACAAATATTAGAAGAAAAGCGAAAAATAAATGTGATTTCAGAAAACTTGCATTAGGTGTGCGCAATTTTATTTTAAAATTATTCTTTAAAAAAAGAAGCCATGACGTGAAAAGTTTTATAAAATGAAGCTAACTAGCTTTGTACGTTATAGTAGTTGACATGTGAGACCATTGATGCTGGGATGTAACCAGCCATCATCAACAAAAAGACAATGATTACACAAGGATGAAAAAGACTTACGGAGCTTGTCGAAGAATGTAGATTTCCTGGGGCGTACCCGCAGTCGTATGCCCTGGGGGTCAGCCTTCTGTGGCAACCTCTCACTGAGGTACTGACGCAAGGTCAGCACAATGAACACAGTGAAGAAAATCTGAAAGGAAAATTTGAGTCGAGTTCCACAGTCAGTCACCACTATTTATAATAAAAAACTGGAGCATCTCACCACAATGACAGAGTTGTTGTGATGGTTTTCAAATTATTATTTTTTTTCAGTTTAATCAAAGTAGGTCATTTTTGTGTCATACCCAGTTTTGAATTTTCTTCACTGGTGTAGGCGAACGGTAACTTAAAAAACTCTTCATATGAATAAAACTGGCATTGATATGGGATGTTTTTAGTTTTAGTTTTAGTAGAGTTTTCACAGCGCTCGCAACTGCATAAGGTCATATGAGCGCCAAGGCGTGGATGTCAAGAGAGAAGTCCATACACGAAATCAGGCTTACTCTGCTCACCTCTCTAGCTTCAACAGCACGAAGTGTGCTTCAACTAGCAAGGCACCCCGGAAATAGCGGGTCACAAGAGAGTGACAAACATACAAAAGAAGTAGAGGAAAAATGACGATAGTAAGGATTAAGAAAGAAAAAGCAGCAGTTCACCATATGCAGTTCAGGCACAGTTATGAGCATGATATTGATGAATCAGCCTATTTACAATTCTATTGAGCATAAGAACATATTAATGACCCCCCTTTGAGAATGGCCTAAAGACACTTCAGTCAGTAGCACCGCCCCAGGGGGTTGTATATGGGATGTGAATGGAGATTGGCGACAATTTATCAAAAGCTGACAATGACTTACTACTGTCAGAACCTTTCCTGCAACTCTAGACTTTCTTCTTTTCGTACCCTTGCTAGGGCTCAGAGAGTAACTGACAGTAAGATCATCCAAAAAAGCAGTTGATTTTCATGTATATGGTAATTTTATTTACATAGAACGAAGAAAAGTCCCTTTCCTGACAGGCACTCACATGCTGTTTTTGAAGGTACAAGAGCTTTGAAATGTTTATACTGATGAGAGTGGCTTCAGTTTTGGGTAGGAATTAATTTTCTTTTTTGCCTGGACAGTGGCATGGAGGGCCTACTCTATTTCATTTATGAATCGCCAAGGGAACTTTCAAGTGCAAAACTTCCACAAGCTGAAATTTCTTGTCCTTGTTGGAGAAGACTAGGTGCTCGATTCTACATACCCTAGGAACAGGGGCTGTAGAATGCATGAGAAGAAAAACCCATCACTGTTGGGGATCGAACTCCAGACCACTGGGTTAAGCTACTAAGCCCTCATCGAAAAACTCTTGGGATAATATCCCCCCCCCCCATATTTGAGGGTCAACGTTCATCCAAACATTTACCTGCAAACCCAAGTTGAGTCCAGGGTCTGTGAAGAACTTGAGACCAATCTCGTCGTAGCTGTAAGAGCCTGCGTACTCGGGCAGCTTGTCGCGGATGTTCATGCCGTAGATGTACTGGGCCACCAGGAGGCACTCAGCGTAGAACAGGACAACTGGGGAGGAGCGCAGGCACCACTTGCGGGAGTTGGGAAGCATCCAGAGCAGGCAGGCCATCAGCAGCAGGGCAAACGTCAGCCACGAGTGGTAGGTGATGCTCCAGGCCTGGCAGAGGCACGTAAGGATAAATCAAAGTAAAATTTTGGGACAACATACACGAATTGTAAATGATGGTAAATGTTTCACGCCCCCATTGACACAATTTACACCACATAGAAAGTGGGGGCTGCTTTAACTCCATCAATTAAAGACAACAAGGACTGATTGGGATACAGCATCCCAGCAAACAGACGGATATGCTCAAAATAACTACCCCACTCAGGAATCAAACTCAAGGCAATAATATATTTATTGAGTCAAAAGTGTGGTGATTCTGACAGTGATAGAATGAGAAGGATATCAACAAGTTATTTGTTTTAAAATTTTGATAATAAAAACAAAACATTAATTTCGGGACATTCAAAACATTAAAAATTAAGGACATGTTTCATAATCTATTTATATGAAGAGCGGGGGAGAAAAAAAAAAGCACTCAACAAAAAACAGAAAGGACAACTCACCATCATGGAAATCAAAGACAGCACATAGCTCTGCCTCATGATGAGGAAAATCACCGACATCCATGGCTTGCGCTTGACGGGCTCGCCAGTGTGCTCCTCTGTCTTGGGTGCTATCTCCACCTCCGCTATTCCCGACCCTGATCCGGACGCTCCAGCACCCTCCACACCTCCGTAGCGTCCACCCGGGGGTTCCTCATGTTCCACTAAACGCTGGGAGGAGATAGTAAAGTGCAAGCTCAGGTAAAGTGAAAAAGCTCTAAAGTTATTTTTCTTCGTCACCTAGACATGCACAGTTGTTTTTTTTTAACCTGTGAGGGGGGGGGGGGAGTGTTTGTGTACTTGCTCAGGAATTCAATCTTAGAAATCTTTTATAAATAGCATTTAATTATTAGAGATTATTTTTTTAGCACCGCACCTTTGTCTTATGAACCAAGATATGAAAGGCTGATTAAGGGTGACATTTTTTATCCCACCTTGGACAATTTGTTTAATAAATATAGTTTGAAGGTCACTTCGATTTAAAAAGATGAATTTGCACACTAACAACATCTTTTTTGGCAGACCTACATGCAATGAAGGTATGTGTCTCAAGCAATGTTTTAATTTATTGATTTAAGAACCACCTAACACACACACACCCCCAAATCTCCTAATCTAGTCTACTTCAAATCATATCTAGGCTCTTAGATGGTCAAGCATCCTATCTCTGAAAAAACGAACAATCAAAAAAGATTTAGAAATCACAACTGGAATGTGCTTAATAGATAAAGATTTTTTCTTATTACGACTGCATATTTTTGGATCCAATTCTGTTGACCGGCTCATTGTTTTACACAACTATGACGCAAATAAGTACAACTGATATCATTCAATTAAACTTTGCTCTGTGATTATTCCTACTAGACAGCACACAAACCATAAATGCACTCTGTAATTGACAGATTACCACAAAAAATAATAAAAACCATTAGCACATTTGTCGCAGAAGTGTCTATAAAATCTATAACTGCACATTTGTCGCAGAAGTGTCTATAAAATCAAAAACTACATATTCATATTTCACTTTTTAACTAAGCTTGAATTGTGGTTTGAATGTGGCAATATCAACTGAATCTACCCCTGCATTCATCTAAACTATACAACAACCGTCTCCGGCAGATGCAATGCTGTTATCACATGAAACAATCAGCTCAAGTAGACCCAGACTTCGAGTCGTTCAATTTCTGCAGATGCTCATGCATGCACAAGAAGCAAGGTACACCTGGCATTTTAACTGCACTGATGTCTCTGAAAGCTGAGCATTAAATTATACAAATGCATTAAAATGCAGTTATATCCTAGTGACTTGAGCACATGCACAGTGAACATATATAAAATCTTTTATCGTTACAATCTCATTCTGCAAATTTCATTTTAAACATGCTTACACAGTATACAGTACAAATTAATACACATTAAAACTGTTCTGCTTGAATGAAAAAATTTTAATCAGACATCGCAGATACAGGTAATAGCTTTAACCTATTGTGCCTCTACGGTTGCTTAGGCTTAGAAAATCCTCTTGTAATGGACAACAAAAAAGAAACCGGGACAGTTTTTAAAAAAAGTGACAAACACAGTAATACTAGACATTTACAGAACACATAGTTACCTCACTTTTCCTTTTCCACCGATGATGAGTATTTAACTTTAAAAATTGTCTCCCCCCCCCCCGGGAAAGTACATACCAAGAAGAACAATGACCAAACAAAGGACAAACAGACAATTGCAATCAGCACACAATCCATCAACATACAACTTAAGTGAATACAGATACCTGCAAACAAACAAAAACAAGAAAAAACAACCCCTCTTACTTTTGGTTTGTCTGTACAAATTCAACACCCCACTAGACACAAACGAGGCATTTTACAGGCCAGGCCCAGCCAGCAGACTATTTACATCCCACCCCCTGTTGCTTGTAGCAGACAGAATTGACCATCAGACAAGTACAGCAAGCAGATGCAAGAAACTAAGGTATAAAACAATGAGTCGAGACTTGACAGACAATACAAATTCAATGAGCAGAAACTCTACAGACAAATGGTTTATTTTATGTATTAGTAGAGGTTTTACGGCGCTCGCAACTGCAAAGGTCATTTGAGCGCCAAGGGGTGGATGTCAACAGAGAATTCCACAAAGAGAATCAAACTTACTCAGCTCTCCTCTCTAGCTTCAACAGCACAAAGTCTACTTCGACTACCAAGGCATCCCGGAAATAGCGGGTCACAAGAGTGTGATAAACATACACTGGGAATGGCCTAAAGACACTTCAGTCAGTGGCACCGCCCCCCGGGGGGGGGGGGGGGGGGGGTAAACAGACAAATACCAGACTGACAGACAGACAAATAAAAAGAGTAGAGACTCCACAGACAGACGAAGACAATATGTAGAGATTGAAAATAAACAAATTCAATGAGTAGAATTTTAGTTTTGGTAACAGTCTTACAGCTCTTACGACACAACAAGGTTATATAAGAGGTGAAGATCAGAGGTGTTACGAGAGAGTAACAAACACAAAAAAGGAGGAGAAATTTAATAAGGATGATAGATGTTTGACATGAAAAAAGGAGAATGTCGCACCAGAGTACCCACCGGCCATCCACTTAGAAACTCTCCACACAAATATTTGACAAACACAATGGGTTTACAAAGAGACTTCCACACACATATTAAAAAGTCCACAGAACAAGAGAGAAAAAAAGTTTATCACAAGACCAACAGACAAATATAATTAGTCTACAAAGCAACAGACAAATACAACGACTGATCCATGAGACCTTGACACCAATATAATAGTCCAGAGAGCAACAAACATCAACAAGAAATCTACCAAGAGACAAACAGACAAATACTATGAGTCTTCAAGCAAAACAACTAAAAATACAATGAGCCCCACAACAAGATAAGAAACATATATCATTATCCTCATAGCCCCAACAAAACTCTTCAGATCCACTCTGAAACATCATAGTATTCTACAATGCAGAAAAGAAAGTGAGTTCTGCATTACGTCTATACAAATCATGCACTTTTTACACTAATACCAGAACAGTTCCACCCAAATGGGTTTGGGTTAAAAATTACAGAAAAAAAAAAAAGCAAGTGTGATATGGGTTCACTTTTTTTTCCTGCTTGTGAAACGACCCAAGAAGCCCATGACGGAACCATGGTGCCGCTGACGCCTGGAAAGGATATAGTATGACAAAATAGACAAGCCAATAGCCAGCAAAGCAACTCCATTGCCCAGTCTCTCAGAACACTTCTCCCAGAAGTCGCTGGCTCAGCCTCACTAAAATTTCTAGTGGCTTAAAGCACAAAGACCTACACGTATGGCGTCCCACTTCAAAGTCTGCTTAATTGAATTTTACTTACTACTAGATTCACAAATTCCTTTGAGGACAAAAAAGAGTGACTTAGTAAGGCTGGATGTAATATTGTATATTTGCAAAAATAAATGTGTTATTTTTTAAAGAAATACAACATAGATAACATTACAGCAATAACAACATTACTCATCACAATTTGGGATCCTTAGTATTTGGTGTAGCCATAAACATGATTTAAGGATATAGTTGCACATGACTGATTATATGTTCAGGACTAAATAGGTCTTTTGGGCAACATGAAGGCATAGGTACACAAAGTTTCAGCTGCATGCGCATATAAATAGCTGCTTATTCAGAATATGTCTCTTATATGCAAAAACAGCATTTTTTTTTTTCCAGAGATAGCCAAAACATAGTAAATAGATTCCATTCTCCATTCAAGAGACACAAAAAGTAAAACTCTTCTCACTTATTAAGTCTCAAGCAAATATTACTTTTTGTGAAAGGAAAGTCTAGTGTTATTGGAAAACTGTTAACATCTAGTATGGTAAGACAGTCGAGTTTTCATTAACATCACAGACTAATGAGGAATAAGTTAATGAATTACCAACATTGGTACGCATACTGATGCGTTAACGGATGGGGCATCATCTTAAGAGCCACCACTATACACAAAGCTACAACACGACATGCTGGCCACAACATCAATAAAACATGCAGGAAAACTGGTCACACGAACGGAGATCACCTCAGGATGGGAAGCCAGGCTGTGCTGGAATAAGCAGATAGAGCGATGAGATCAAACTAACACTGACTGATGACACATGATTGTGCAGTGCTTCACACCATGGCTGACACTGAACTTACAGTAAAGAAATGGCAGTTAAAGAACAATAATTTTCACGCATCAAACGAAAACAACTTTTGAAAGATAAGTTCACTAGTAAGGAGAGTACTATAAGCATTCTGCTACATGCGGAGGTAGCATAAACAAACAGACATACCCTGAAACAAATATGAATGAATAACTATGGACAAACAAAAACACAAATGCATGCACAAAAGATAACAAACACATACATACAGAAAGACAGAATTTTTTTTCCTTTCATGAAACTGTAAAGCCCCACAATCCAAAACATTCAGATCATTAAGAGGCAGGCTACTACAACCTGCAACGGCGAAGAACCTAACCATTTCACCACAGACGCTGCTCTTGACTGATGAGTCAAATTAAAAAAATTAGTCACAAAACTCCTACAATGACAGAAACTGAAGTTCATTATCTTGCTAACACACAAACACACACAAAAGAACAGCAAACCTGAAAACAACAATCTTGAGACCAGTAAAATTAAACCATGGGATGGGACAGAAAAAGTATGAGATGATTTATGTCAAATGATGAGATTCACCTGTCACTTTCCCATCATTATCCTTTTGCATTGCTTCAAGTAAGCACACAGTGGTTCACTTAACCTATTCTTTTCTTTAACTTTCTTCCAAATCTCCACCAACTACAACATCTTATACTACTTATATTGTGATCAATAAGCCTGAAGCTTCAACAAGCATGAAACAGTACTGCACAGGGCCAAAGGCTGGATAGACCAAACTGAGAGTAGACAGCATCATCAGAAACACATTGAAGAACAAATACATACAGGCAGTTATTTTTTACTCGAACAAGCATTTCAAATCAACGCACTTAACATAAGCTACAGAATAAACTTTTTCTTTAAAAGGAACCGTTAAAAAGGCGCCATACTCTATATTCATTCACTGTCAATATTAATTCGGAATGAAACACACAAACCCCAGAAGTTTTCCTATTTTTCTTTAATTTCAAAAATCCATTTTGGATTTATTAATTTATTGCATTAGAAAACGTTATATCAAATTAAGTAGAAAAAAAAAGATATACTATTTAGAAACAACTGCCAACCAATAGTCTTAAATCAAATAAAATACTCAGGAATCATTCACAAACGTTTGGAAATTGGACTCCATATAATGTACCAAAAGTCCGTAAGCAAAAATACCCTGGTAACATTTTCAGTTCAAATCTAGGACGAGAAGTCAACCAGCCAACCATGATAGAAATGTCCTGAGCAAAGTTTCAAAACACGAACTCCAAAACTGAAAGACACAGCTCTCCCCCTCCTAATGTCCTAAACAAAAAAACCAAAAAAAAACCACATTCGTTCTCCAAAATTGTTCTTTAAAAGAAATGCAAAGGATATCTTTAAAAAAACGATAACTTGAAACACTCTAAAGAAATACTTCCAATGATTTCTCAAACAACAAGATTCCCTTGCCTACAGCAACAAGTAACTTGTCAAACAAAAAACTCTCTAAATGACAACCACACAAGAAACCTCTCCAACAAAAGCAAAGAAAGGACTTTCAACAGAAACATCAATTTTTGTTTTAAAAACATCAACGCCTCCTTACTTGTTGAATCTCAGCCAATGAATATCTGAGCCATCGCTGGTACATTAAACAGAAAGGACAACATACATTCACTGAATATGCCTTCATCTATCGAAACTTAGTGATATTAAATCATCAGATAGGAGCCACAATGCTTTTCAAACAGAATGAACTAAGAGATAAAAAGTATCCTCTGTCAATATAAAAGTGATTGCAACAACTCAAGATTTACTTTCACTGTGTAAAGATTTTTTCCTGCTCATTCCCCCAACATTTCAATACCACAAATTTGAATTCTACATACAAATAGCATAAATTTCCTTGCTCAATTCTAATGTACTCCACCGGCTAAAATGTCGCTATACCGCTTATTCATACTATTTTCAGGTTAAAAGTTCTATTCCCTTAAACAGACAATTTAATGCACATCTGACATCACTAAAATCAAAAGGTTTTCATAATCAAGTCCTAAAATAAAGAGATACCCAACTCTCAAACCAAGAATAAATATTCTGAGATTCTACATTAGGCCCAGCCCTAGGAATGAGGGATGATCAAAGTTTCAGGACTATTTTCTCAAACAAGAATGACCAATAGATAGGGCAACAGGCAGGCAGAAAGACAGACAAAAAGATCACTCAGTTGTAAAATATTTACACACCCTTCAAACAACTATGGCAAACGCCACAAGTAGACGTGTAGCATCCTAATCATGTCTTTGTTTTTTTTCCCTATTAGTTTTAGAAAAGCCCAAACCAACTCGTTAAAACTTTTTACTTTTACTTTTATTAACTTAAAAAACCCACAAAGCCTGCACCTTAGCGTAAGAAATTGCTTTTGATGACATTTATTCACATCCAACCACGCCCTTTCAAAAAAGAATCATAACCTGTTCCAAAGCAAAACTATTTAAAAAACTGACAATGAAATAAAACAAACAAAGCAACTTAACAGAACTCAAGCAATTTTACCGAAGTATGTGTCAACATTTTGGACTAAATATTCATTTTTCTCTCTCTTTAACTTCTCAAACTCTATTGAATTGATTGAAGATATTACTGTCTTCAACCATACCAGTATTTTGAGAAATAACTCTTTCTACCTACCCAGTCAGTACACCTAGTACTTCCTTTGACTAAACAAAAACCTTTAGCTTACAACTCCAAAACCTGACAGCTTTTTTGTCTATAAGATTAAAAAAAAATAAAAAATACAAAGATGGTACATCCCACTGTCTTCAACAGACCAAATTATAAAATTTGCAGTCCATCAGAAGCTTAAACACCATTTAAGACAATACTTTGCTCCACGTGCTGTGTGACTTTAAACATTTGATGACCTCTGTCAACTTTGTATGGTTATTCTAGAAGCAAATTTTACGTGCATCTTGATTCAGACCAAGCCAAATGGGTCAAAAAAACCCTCAAAAACTTCCCAAACAAACCAAGATCAAGAACACCCTCTGAAGGACCCGAAGAGAAACCATCCGCATCATAGACCAGCAAGATAACAACTTAACAATGGGTGGGTTCATAGTATCCTATGAGACGAATTGAAAGGTCAGGACACAATCTAAAGACGGGAGTGAATGATAAATCGCAAAGTATTCAGTCAAAATACACACACACAAACACACACACACTGATTTTTGCTCTTCTCTCCCAGACATCCTTCCAGTCTGCATAAATATAAAAACACATTTATTATGATAGCCTCTGCAACCTTGAACGAAACCCATGAATATTTTAAAGCTGTTTACTTATGTAACAATGCACTTGCGCATGACCAACCACTGTCTGCTACATTAAAAAAAGACAGACAATTTCAAAATAGGTTCATGGCTTCTGGTTGAAATGACTATCCAATCAGCAACAAGACTTGGACACACATGTTTTGTGCAGTTTAAAAAATATGTATACAGAAAATCTTGATCCATCAAAATCAACACGATGAGAACCACGGGTGACGAAAGAAGTGGCAGGCCCTAATCATAATGGTCTAGATCCTCATATATTTTCTTGAATTTAAAGCATGTTGCTCTGATGAACCGCATATATTAACATTTTTTCAGACTACAATGCATGTCTACCTAATCTTACTTATGTTTGAACCTGACATATGTCCGCATCCAATCTTCACTAAAAGTATATTAACAACGATTATTAATTCAATTTCACACAAAAAAACCCCTACAAATTAAAATACCCCTGTGTATGATGATCAACTGACTAAGGCGACCACTATTCATACAAAATGAAAAGTGACCAATCTTATGCAGTACTTGTACTTTAAAGTACAGAAAGACTGAATGAAACTGAAGACGCCATTCCAACGAAATACACAAGATGTTCAAATAACTTCAATGAGTTATACTCAACGCAGTGTCAATGACGACAACCCCCCCCCCCCCCCCCCCCCCCCTACAAACTCAAACTTCTTTAGTCTCAGTATAACGCATTCAGAGAAACCCAGCTGAAACCTAATACCCAAAAGCTCAGACCGACTTACGAGTAACACATTGAAACTAATAATTTCTTTTTAAAAAACAAGCAAGGACCACTTGTCTGCTCTGTTTCCTCTTCCTCTTGTAAGAGTTTTATGGCACTTGCAACACAATAAGGTCATATAAGTGCCGAAGATTAGAGATGTTACAAGAGAGTAACAAACATTAAAAAGAAGGAGGGGAGATAAGGATAATAGATTTTTTATAGGAAAGAAGGAGCAAACCACACCAGAGCACCCGCCAACCACCCACGCTGTTTCCATATGCAACACTAACAGTGCAGCAAAATTAAGCTCAAGTACAGATATGACACTGATATTGCTTCAGAGACGTGAGGATTTCATAGTGTATATTAAAAGTGAAAGCTGTGTGAATGTTTAAGACGAGTGAGCAGACAAAATTTGTGACAGAACATTTGGTGTAGAGAGCAACAGATTAGTTTTGAGATTATCAGTCAGAAACTGAAAACACAGAGACTGACAAAACAGTGACAGGACTGAGGTGAAAGCATTTCAGAGAGTGAGTGACTGGAAAACAAAAACTGTCAATTATGGTAGTTAATTTAACCAATGATAGTACATAACAAGATGGGCCACTTCTCTCTTTGAGCCAATTAAAAAAGTGTCCTCAAAATTTGGTGGCGCCCTC